TCCTCCATTTATCATATCATGCCCAATTCACTTCTTACTACACTACGTCGTGATGCATAAAAACGATGTATGAAGCCAATGTAGGGGTTTAAACTCCCCTCTACCACCTAGACGTCGAGGTTGGCTATTCAAGCACAGAGATTAACCCTTTTTAAAGCACAACTTTAGCCCTTACTTCACCGCGTCTTCAGGGGAGTCTGTCGCGCCTTTGACGGTTGTCTATTGGATTCTTGAGCACAACAGCGTTTGTGGTGACTTCCCGCCTCGCACCTCTAAGGCACATTTAAAACACCTAACATGTATTCCAACAACCGCTAAATTTTGCAGTTGTTCCCCTTAATAGACAACAAATAATATCATTGGTCAGTCATTCCTGGTCAGGAATTGACAACCGTCGTCTCTTGAAGTGCGCACGACATTCCAAAATTCGTACATAAATTTGTGTATATAGTGGGCACGCTTTAATATGCTTTCACAACAAACGACAAAACGAAAGTCCCATTGCGGAGTCACAGTTTCACTTCCTTGTGCAGAGTAGGGAGAATGGGTTTGTGGCTTCGAAAAGGTTGTGATGATCCTCCATCGTCCAAGTGTCGGGCCAAACTTCTGCTAAAGTTGCCATGTTTTGCACAATCAGCAATGCTGCATGGTAGTGAACTAGGCGAATTTGTTGAGATGGATGTAAATATGTAAAATTGCAGCAGCACTGTCAGCAGTAAAACACATCCACACTCACCCACCCACACCGTCTATTTATGCATGTGTGTAAATTTCTTGTAGGGGCACAGACGCCAACAGGATGCAAATCAACCCTCCTCTCCAACCTGCCTGACGGTGCGTTCACAGCCTCGTCAATCGTCTCACAAAAGTATTCCGCCGCAGCTGCGAGGTGTGTATGCCTTCCCCAGCATCAGTTTTTTAACATCTGCATTAAAAATTAGTCACTAGGTGTGAATTAGCTACTTGAATGAGCACTGTGTAAATGTATGGCCGCATCCGCTAGGTGCCCTTAAAATCACTTGCCTACAAGACATTGCTTTGCACTTACGGACTTGGAGATGTGTAGCATTACCCACCTCCACTCCTCTTCCCTTCTCTACTAAAAGGATGGCCTGACTGAATGTATGGTGAGATGAGGGTTCATTTGCTTGTGAATTTTTGGAAGCTGTTGTGCCATTTTTGTGTATTCTGCTACATCCTTTCATGCTTCCAGCAAGACAACAGACATTCAGTAGTTCAGCATACAGTTTTCTGGGGTCATTGCTAGCATAAGGAGTGTGCCAAAGTCTGTGTATTCGCAAATGAAAATGGGAAGGGAGGATCAGTGGTGAACATCGATGAGTTTGCTTGTTTTCAAGACTTTTTGGTGAATGTGGAGCTTTGGAAAGTGCAATTAGTGTGATTGAAGATAAAACCTGAGGAAAATGTTGCTTTGGTGCGTTCATCTCCTTGTCCGTGTGTTTAGAATGTCTCCAGGTAATAAGACGCTGCAATATCGCGCCTGGTGTCCTGTCAGCGTGCAGCCCCATGAGGAGAAGGAGTTCCTCGAGGTGGATCTCGGCCAGCAGTCCTTTGTGAAGCTGATAATCACTAAAGGTCTCTCCACAGCCGACAAGGTGAGACAGCGCTGAGTGAATGCTTTCCACAACGGCTAGTCAGGAGGTCACCTCTCCACTCTATTCACAGGGCGGTCTCTATCTCACACCCTTTTACCACATCCGCTATCGTAGGGAGGATCCAGCCTCACAGTGGATTAAGTATCAGAACATCAATGGAACTATGGTTCGTATTCTCCTCCTTTTGTTCACAATTGCTTTACACACCTTTACTGTTGTGTACTTGGTGAGGGCGCATAGCTGAGGTCGTGGTGGTAGTGGTGATGAAGACGTCTAAAATGACAATCTCTTGCCCTCATTGGGTCGACTTACTACCATTTGCATGTAAATTCATCGTCATTCATTGGCATGACCAACTTGTAGTCGCACAACCTTTTAATTTATTCAAAGGTAGTAAGGTTATTGTGTGCACAAAGGGAGACATCAATCCAAATACACGGAACTTTTTTGCCCTCAAAATATTTGTGTAAACTTGCCATCCACTCCTTTCTTCTTCCTCATGATCGGGTTTCTTACCCACTTCACATGAAGGCACAACCCCATGGTTTGTGGGTATCTTAGTGGAGCAAATTAATGCTCCAATGAGGAGAAAATTGTCTCCTCAGCGTCATTTTTTGGGCCAAGGGAAATTGTCGCTTGGCTTCTTAATTTATTGCACACAAACTGTGTGTAAAACCATTAGATTTGTCCTTTAATGCCTGTCTGTTCACCACTCCTTAATGTTTCAGCCTTGTTAATACCTCAAGTCACGCAATAAAGCAAGACCATTGGTTAGTTGGAGGGGAAAAGTTGGTACATGAGGTCAGCCAATTGCTTCAATTGATGGGCAAATGGATCCAACTTTTTGAATTTTTCTTTGTGTGTTCAAAAGACAATAGTGGCACACATTTTGCACTCAACAATGTCCCAAATAAACGTCAA